TTCTGTGTATGCACGTGGATGTGTATCTGCCAGAAGTCACAACACATATCAACATGCATATGTAGTCAAGACAATCCCCTTATATTAACTGAATCAATTGCTAATATTCATACTGAAACAAGATATTCCATATATCAACTATGCTTTATTGCACATGCAAGCTCTTTACATAGGGGCATTCAAACATTCTATCTCCTTTCTTATCAGAAACACCAAAAACAAAAAAGAGGAAAAAAACCAGTTAACTGATATAGGAAGGAAAAGACAAAAGAAGAACAAAGTGGATAAAAATGAGGCAAAAGGAAGAAGTAATGAACAGACAAATAAAGAAAATAGACAAAACCTTTATTGTTAGACATTATAGAAAGACTTTGATTTACCAGGCATGTGTAGCCTCGCCCATGCAGTCCCACCCAAGCAGCTACTAATCTTAAAGTTCACCTTTTAAAGGAATTTAATGCTGCAGCAGCAATCTCTTTAATCATTTGCACTTCATATTTACTTGTTTTCAACAACTTTTTCTATTCTCATTAAAGAATGTAAGATTACTATCCAATTCACACACATTTTTGTATGGGGGGAGAACCCTCATCTTCTTATAAGCATCTGTTCCTAATGATAACAATAACAAAATATGTCATAGTACAAACTTCATTCCTTTTGCAATTGTGTTCCAACTTCAAACACAAATATATACTTAAGTCAGAAGGTTTACATCATAATATATGTTTCATCTGTGTCTTCCCTGCCATGCCTTGTGGAATTTTTTTAAGCAGGTACATGCAATATATGCCTCTTTTACATAATTCTATACATCTGGTTAAGTTATTCATCCTTTTTTAATAAAGGAAAAAGTGTTGTTCTTTCTCAAATGGTGACTTTCCAATTTCCTAAATGTTTTATTTCTCCTTTTGGGGTCTTTTTCTACATATCTTATTTATGTTTATGAGATATAATAGCTAGAAATATATGCTGTATTCATGGTATGTTCATAAATTTATATGAAAAAAAATCCTAATCATCTCTAGTATAGAACTCATCTCTATCATAGCTAATATATGTTTTTCACTAATATTCTTTTCATATCTATGTTCCTCATATAGAATAGATCATTGGTTTATATTAGTTTCTTAAAGCCTTCTACAGAGTGATCTACTGTACATTAATTATTGTGTAGTAATGAAGGAATACTACAGAATAGTAGTTTAGTAGTTAGGAATTTCCATTATCTTTGATTAAAATAAGCCATGCTCAAGTAGTTAGTTTCTATCCATTCTTTTATTAATGTAATATGGAGCAAACCTGGATTGTTGCTAAACCTAGAGCACAGGTGTCAAACTCAATTGTATCACATGACGTATTGTGACATATCACGATTTTTTTGCCTTTGCAGAGCCAGGGTGCGCGTGGCCTGTGCATGATGCATCCGGCCCGTGGGCTGCCAGTTTGACAACCCTGTCCTAGAGGCTGAAGCCTAGATTTGCATTGCCAGAAATACTGTTATTTTAATTTACTAAAAATGGGTAATTTTGATTGTTCATTTTTGAAATTTTGTCAAGAAAATGCTTCATAACTGTTTGAAAATGCAAGAATATTATGAGTTTTCATTGTTATCTTTCAGCACAGCTAATTGACAAATCCATTAATTAAACTGGAATTGAAGATCTGGTTAGGCAATAGGATATGTCATCTATTGAGATATCTTTATTTTTCTCTTGGATTTTTTTTTTCAAATTCAAGGCATTTGATTAAAAAAAATTGTCTATTATCTGTCAAGCTGTAAATTGCAGACAGTTATAGCACTCTTGTTCCAAACCATGCTTGCTATGTCTTTTAGAGCAAGTTAACTAAATTCTTATGGCTGTAGAGATATTTGAGGTTATATCCTTTTTTTACTCTGTAGAAAGGTTTTTAATCTGACTAGCTAAACAAAACAGGTTGTCAGGATAATATAGCCTGAAATATATTTTGAATTGAGACATGAATTGCATACTATGGTACTGTATATAATATTTATAAAATATACAAAATTTATCTTCAAAATTCTCATTCCTCATACCTAGTGAATATGTCCATGTAGATTTTCTGGAAACAATATGAAAATACTTTGCCATTATCTGTTTCTGCTATATTTTTTTTTAACTTTCTAATTTAACCTGCCTAAGATTTCTTTATTCTTCCTACTAAAGCAACACTCCCTTTAGCTTTTTCAAGGTCAACAAAGGATGGCTAGGGAGTGCTAACTTTAATTATACTGCAAATACAGTTCTTTGATACATGTATTTATATTAATATAAAGTAGCTACTGTATTTGCAATGATATCTGAAAATATAAAGCAATGCTATGCAAAGCTTAATCTGATAAAAAATTAGGAAAGGTCATTATCATTATCGTTATCATTCAATACAGAATTTCAAATCATATTTCTAAAAATACTTATTGAGTATTTTTACAAATATCATGATTTGAAATTCTATATTGAATGAAAATGCTAATGATAATGACCTTTCCTAATTTTTTTATCATGTAAGTTTATTTCACTATTTTAAAAATTAAAAGAGAACACATACAGATCTGGAGAATCTCTTGGGTACTTTTAAATTATTGTTGTAACCAACACTTTAAAACTAATAATTTTAATCCGGACTCCAATTTTAGTGTTCTGCCTTACAGTATTGTTTTAAGGATTATTGAAGCAGTATCTATGAAAATACTCAGAAAATTGTAATGTAGATATATTATCATCATTATAATTATTTATTGATACTATACTGAAGAACAACCATGGAATATAAATAGTGATGTTACAAGTAACTATTTTTTATTATTAAAATAAGTGTTTAAAAGTGAACTGATTTTTTAAAATCATTGTTTGATGATTTGCAAATATTTAAGGAATGAAAGTTTATAAACTATGATTTTACCCATAATAGTTATAGGATATGTAGTGATAATAAAATGCAATTAATCTTAATAGCCAGAAATTCAAAATACTATGTTCTAATTAACTTTTACACAATGGTATCACAAATACTGTAAGTACCTATTAATAATATATTACAAGCCTGATGAACAACTCTTCACCAATCATAAAATAAGCCACTATTCAAGGGACACCATATTTCAGTTTCTAGACCTCTAGGGAGAATCCACTGAAGGTTTTCAAATCTATCACTTTGAAAGACATTTTAAAAAAGAAAATACTGTACCCAATAGCTATTGTGATTCCTTGCCTTAATGAGTGCAACAAGTTGTATATAGACATTTCATTCCTATAAATACAAATTCAAATTTTATATTTGATAAACAGACCAATGTGTTGTTGATATGCAATTTAAGTTAATGGAAATTAAGTTTCCATTAACAAATAGGAAGAAAGAGAGAGTAATAGTCCTCCATAATTAAACGAGAAGTTCTTGTCTGTCTGTCTGTCTGTCTGTCTGTCTGTCTATTTATGCAACAATATAGTTATACAATGCTGCATATTTCTCTGTGATTAGTCTAAGGCATTTTTACTCTTAGGATAAAGCATCCTTGCAATTAGAGAATGTAAATACTATATAAGTTTGCAGTTTTATTCACTTACCTGTATGTCCAATTGAAAGCCACAGAAATTGCTTCTGGGCAAATTTAAACACTATGGGACTGTACATTTAATTTCAAGAGAAAAATAGTTTCTTATCCTATTAAAACTATTGCTGATTTCTAAAATGGGTTATGAGTTTAATATGCATCAACTGAAATAACAACTGAAATGGAAATATCATAGTTTTATGTTTCAAATGAAGAGATTTAATTTTTCCAGGGTTTTTTTTAGGCTTTAAGAATATTGCCTGAAAAGCTACGTGTAATAGCTTTTGTGGTGGTATCACAATTAATCTCTCAATTAATCTTTAACTAACTTTCAATATAAACTACATAAAAATTCACATATTGAAGTAGAAACATCTAAATTCATGCAAAAATTACTTTAAAGTCCCATACCATCTTAAAACTAAGCACTGCCAGAAGACCAGTTTAAAAATGTTTCCTCGTGAACCAGTACAATGCACAGGCTATAGAATTTATTAATTTGGGTTAATGACTAGCTTTATAAAACAGTTAGTAAAATACAACATATGAGATATTACAATTTCAAGAACAATTGTAAATATATATTAAAACAGACTGAGTGGCTTTTTTGATTAATGGTAGAAAGATGGTAGATCAGATGAAGTTTTATCAAATAAAGAATCAAATTTAAACAAAAAAAATGTTGGGTGACTGAGGCTAACTTCTGGATAAAGAAGACAGGGAGTTTACATAAAGACAAACCCCACAAATATTTGTTCCACAGCCAGTATAATTAGATTAAAATGATAAAGACAAAGGACTAGACCATTACTAAATGAAGCAACTTAATTACCTAGTCTGTATCTATTTTAAAGAATTAATCCTTTCCATTTTACCTTTGGTAATATAATTTACTTTTATTTGGGCAAGCATACAAAATGTACATTATTTTCCCTCATACAGTATTGTATTGCTCTGAGGGCATTCCATGGCTTTAAATTGTAAGAAAATTTGTTAGGTATATTTACTAATCTAGCCCTGTACAAAGAAATATTGAATTTCTCAATTATTCTGTTATGAAAAATAAACCCAATAAACTCTCTTCCCATGCACTCAGATAATATTGAGGCTTGCAACAACTAAATTCACATGCTTGTTAAATATAAGTAATTGTATTTAGAATTATTTAATTCCTTTTTGTCCGATTATTAGGACTGTTCAGGTTACATTGTACTTCAAGTGACCTGGTTGGTAGATCAATTTGTCAGCCTATTTCCTGAAAACTAAAGTTATCCTTTCTTGAGTGGGGTAGAATATACACCTACCTATTCACAGTACAGTTTTCCAATTCTCTATTCTTTTTCTTTGCATTCCTTACAATTCTACAAAATTCTGATCCTCAACCTAATTTTCAGCTTGATCTTCACAATGCAAAAATATGCTTATGTCATAATTCAAAGAGATGGAAGAACAGGGTTGGAATATTTGACAAAAGATTCAAATGTGAGATGAATGAGGGGAAAGCACAGCTGCAAGATTCACTCCTATGGAGGAAAAGCCATGCAGTCTCCATCTCTTGACCTCCTCTTTCATTGAGAGACAGGCTGACTGGGAAAGGGCAGAACAGATTCTTACCTTCACTGCAATCCTTCCCATGGAAACCAGTATGGGAGCAGTCACACACCGCCTGATTGTTGAGCACAGAGCATACACCACCATTGAGGCAAACATCTCTAGCACATAAGTGGCTCTGTTCATCATCCAGACGTACTTCTTGACTCTCCACAGGTGAAGACTGTGTATAATTGACTCTTACATCTGTTATCCATCCTTTGAAGGGTTCCCTATCCTTCACTGAGGAGAGTGTTACTTTTAGGGTAGGTGAACGCAACTCTGGAGGCAATCCTCCTAGAAAGAGACCACTAAAGACCGTCATGTCCCGCCGCTTAGATTTCACTTCTACCCATTTAGCCTCAGCCTGATCAATTAGTAGTGTTGTATTCTTAAAATTGCGGCGAATGATCACAGTGTGCCACAGGTTGTCATTGACAGCCATGTCAGAGAGTAAGATGGCAGGCTCAGCACAGAAGATGGAGAAACTTAGCTGGAGCCGCCCACCTTGTGTCAGAATTAACTCCAAGAAGTCGCAGAAGCCCTCATCATCAAAGTAAAGGACCAGACCACTGGAACTGCGGGTTTTCATGTTAAAGCTCATCTCGCTCTCACAGCAGGCATTCCATTTTGGGAAGCGAGTCCATTGGCCCTCTGCTCCTGGGAACTCCAAGCCACTGCCAAGCTCAGCCCAACATCCCAGGAGCAGTGCCATCCAGAGTAGGAGGCAGCCTCCACGTCGAAGGAGCACCGGCCCCATTCTTGGTGGGGTGGGGTGGGGGAGAGGGGGAAGAGGAGGGGGGAGTGGTGGTGGGGGCGTTGAAGCAGACAGGGTAAAATCTTTCCAGTAACTACTCACAACAGATATTTAATTCTTGCTTTTCAGATTCAGGGAGGAAATAATGTGGCTGCCTTCCCCAGTAGGAGAGTGTCAGGCTTTTTACACTAGATGCCAATTTGTTCTTTTTCAATAATAAAAATAATAATAATGGAAGAAAGGAAGGATAAAGCACCAACAAATGTGCAATTTTATTTGAACTGTAAAAAGTATTTAAAAAAATAAAAGGCACTGATAAAAAGTTATTCAGTCATCTGCTTCTCAAAGTGAGGACTAAGTGAGTCAGCAAATATATTAATATTAAAAATCCATGTTGACAAGATGAAAAGAAGCTGGGGATGGATGGAAAATACAACAAATGTAGGAAGGTCCATAAACTACTTAGAAGACCTTTTTAAAAGATCCACAAATCCAGCAAGATTTAATCAATATTCCAGCATATATGGAGAATTCAGTATCCCAGTGTATGTAGAAGTCATCTTATCCAATAGTGGTAGTTCCCAGGAATGTTGTCACTTTCACTGCAAGCAATTTAGAGATTTCAATCCTGTCTTTCCAAAGTTGATTCTTTCATCAGACCATGGACTGCCTGCCATGTAATAAACCAGGAGAGTGTGTATTTCCCAATGGGGCTGAAATCCAGAAGCTGTCATGTAGCTTAGAAGCTACTTGCTATGCAGAGCCTCACAGCTGCTCCTATTTTGTTTTTCTTCTGCAAAGCCAAAACTGAAAAGATCCCGGTGCTTAATTGTTGGAAGATTTTGCACCATTTTTTTAAAAATATATATATTTACAAAAACCTGCAAAAATTTGAAAGACAACAAAATTACATTCACAATTGAATACTTCATGCCTGAAAAATAAAGAGCTGAAAGTAACAGCAAATACAAATACAACCTGAAGTAAATTGAATGTCTTCTGCTGCAATAGATACACATACAATATACTGTGCTTGAAAAGTTTCTGGTGACATAGCCTGCTCACACTATTTGTAGCAATAAGTGTTTTATGCAAAAAAGAAATTGGAAATGCCTCATTAAACACAAAGTTATGATACAAAAAGATATCAAAAGATATTTACTACCATTTTAGTATCCTCAAAAAGATTCATAGCAAAAAGTATATCTTTGCCTGCTATATCCTATGTTTAGCAATTTTCCATGCAATAAACATATTTTTAATATTATATAAAGTGAATGAAACCACAGGAGGAGCAAGCTAGCAGTGAATTTCTTCAGTGCTATGGCTGTTTTTTTCCCTGAAATAAATATGATTATTGCTATAGCTATTTGTATATTTTATTCTGCTTCCTTTAATTAATTTTTAAACTTGGAAAATTGATTCATTTTAATTGCTTATATAATAGAGTCCAAAATTTGATATCTTGCTATCTCTGCTATCATCTTCTGACATAAAGAACTACATACAATCTCATAATTTCACATTATATGTAATTTGTAACATGTTAGTTTCTCTGTAATGAAAGTTAAATCAGTTTCCATGTTTTAAAATATTATCCCACCCTTCCCTCTCAAATATTCCCAGCTACACCCATAATTTGTGGATAATGCATATTTACTGATATTTGTTAAATCACATCATTATTTCTATATCAGTACTCCAATGCAGCTACAGTTGTCATCTAAGAAAACTAATTGACTTGCAGCAGCAAATAAAAAAAAAAGCCTCAAGTAGTAGCAATACCATAGCATAACCCTTCCTAGATTATGCCTAAGTATTAAATGACATATACTGCTTTCATCTACCTCAAGTGCAAGCACCTCTTGTTATCCATAATTTGCATAGTTTTGCAACTAGAAGTATTTCAGCACTATCCCATTACAGCACAAAGGCTTGTTTACTTCCTGGTGCAAGCAGCATACTGTTATTGGTTGATTTATTGATTGATTGATTGAATGAATGATTGAATGAATTTATATTCCATCTGTCTCACTGTCCTAAGTGAGTCTGGGCAGCTTACAATGATTGTAGGTGCAGTTAATATTTTGAAAAACACTGGGAGAAGAAATGTTTAATAAATATGATCAATTAATGGAAATTTCTACATTAACTTTTAACTTCAAAACAGAATTTGCATGTCAACATTGTGGCTCACCAGAAATCTCCCAAAAACTGAATGTAGGACTTCTTGTTATAGCTTTGATGCTATTTGGCAAGAGCTAACTAAATCAATGAGGGAAAAATATATCATTTTGGAATTGATAAAACTTTGTATTTGGGGAGACATAAAAGATAATTCTTTGGCTTGAATTCAAAATATTGCAAGGATAAAAATTAAAGAGAAATTAGGGCTTGGGACATCTCTTACCAAGTATTTCTTTAATTTTATAACTGTACAAAATCTTGCATGTATATAATATAGTCATAAACCACCATGTTAGTCAAATACTCAAAGAGATAGTAGAAATATATTTAAAATAATATTTCCACCTTGTGATGCAAATATCAACTATACTTAGAAACTAACTCTCAAAGTTAATAATATCCAATATTTTAAAGAAAAAAAATGTCTTACAAGAACTTGTTCTCTGATCAAGGATCATTTTCTTAGCTCCATTTCCTATTGTTTAATATTCTGCAGTGTTAGTTCTATTTCTTTATATTGTATTCACCATTTCCCATCTATTAAAAATGGCAAGTTTTCTTTTGGTTTTAAGAAAAATATGAATAGACAATCTATCAGTTCAAAAGTAGACTTCAATATAGGGAATGAAATATTTTTTTAAAAAAAAATCGATCATGTATTTGTCAGCATGTGCTGGAAAGGCAGCTTGTAAACTTTTAATTTCAGAATTTGGAGCAAGGTGAGCAATCTGAACTTTTTACCATTAAATTCTTAACATCACCTGATAACACAAAGTTAAGGAGGGGGGGTGATACATTTGGTGCTGGTGAGTATGTCTGTGTGCATGAGAGTAAAACAAGGAATTAGTAAAAAAGAATGGAAATAAATTTGAATAAAATAGGCAAAATATGCAAAGGAAAAGGCAAGTCTGAATTACTGTATAGAGCCACCTATACAGGCTGCAGAATTTATTTCCATGCAGAATAGCCACACACAATGTATGAAGAGAGAGGAAGAAATGATTCATAAGGGATTATTCTATGAAAGGGCCAGATATTTTCCTTTGAGACTTTTGTGGTCTTCATTGTAATAAGCCTCTCTCTCTCAGCCTGGACTGATCAGCAAGACAGCAGCTAATGTCAGCAGCCACCGAAAGCAGCAGCAAAAAAAAAAAAAAAAAAGCCTCATTTCACTTCCTGAGGGGCAGCCAACCCCGCTGAGGCTTCCCTTTCCCGCTTAGAGAAGCGCTGCCGACTTGGCGCCAGGACCACCGCGGCCCTTTCGGTCAAGGCTGACCGTTAGGGACAAGGGTGGGGACGTGCGCGGGGGGCCCCCGAGAAATTGATGACACTGTATCCAGCCCTCGCTCGCTCCCTTGCCCCCGGTCCCCGCCGTCACGCTGCCTCCCGCGCCCACTGGTAGCTGTCGGGCTCCTCCTCTGGTGAGGCAGCGCGCGCGCGGAAAGCTAGATGCCCCGTGCTTTTCAAAGCTCGCCACTGCCGTTGCTGCGGCTGCTTTCGCTAGAGATTGACCGGGGGAAGGAGGGAACGCTCGGGCTACGTCCGTCTGTTTCCACCCCCACCCCCGTTTCCAGGTTGTTGTGCTGAAGCTCGGGGGAATGGGGGAGGGAGCAAGAGGAAGGGGGTGTGTGTGAATGTGCTGGAGAACTAGCGCCGGAGTGTGTGACGGAAAGTATTACAGGACGGCGGTGTTAACGAATGTGTGGGAGAGTTGTGCAAAAAAAAAAAAAAAAAAAAACCGGGAGAATTCGTTATCTACAAGCGGGCGAGAAAGAAAGGGGTGGAGTGGGATTGAAGCATTAGAGAAACATAAATATTCGGAGAAGAACGCGCTGTGTCTCCCAAGCAAGACGCGCGCTCTCCAGCTGGCAAGAGCTCTCCAAGGTCTCAAACAGTGCTAGCTCTCCGTTTCCCCAGCCTTGCTTCCTAAAATCTCTCTCGTCCAACTAGCGAGAGCTCTCCAAGGTTTCAGTCAGCGCTCTCCGTTTTCCCAGCCTTGCTTACTAAAATCCTGGATAACGCGCGGAATTGAAGGTGCTAAGAAGACCTTCGCACGCGAAAACTGCCCTTCGCTGCTAAACAGCGGCCTCTTCCCCAGAATGAGGGTGTGCGCCATGCAGATGCCAAGCAAGAATTGAACTTGGGATTTTCCACCACTGCAAAACTCAGTAGTGAACCACAGAGTCCCCCCCCCCCCAAAAGGTCCCAACAGAATATATGTTGCTTTGTCTTTATGAAGCCGGATCCATTTGGCCGTCTAGCCATCTAGTATCTCATATGACAAGCAGCGAAGAGCTTTTTCCGGTTTTGCAGTCAGAGATCGTTTTAACTGGAGGTGTCTAGAATTAAAGCAAAATGTTCATGCCTGATAATTCTGTGTTTTTCCATGAAAAAAAAATGTTTAAAGAGAGGAGAGGAATTAATGAGTGAAAAAACAACACACAAGACAAATTGATTATTATATATGAGAACTCAGGAAAGGATTATAAGGATAAAATAGATTTTCTGAATAATATTAGACAAAGGAGATTAATATATGCATACATGATATACATAGAAGTGTATGTGGAGATAAAAGGTGAAAGTTAACTTTGTATGAAAGAAAAGCTTAATTTGTGTGCAAATGTATGTGCAAGAAGATTAGACAAAGCAGCTAGAATATGTTTGGATTAATGCATTCATATGACAGTGTAAGTAATGGAAAAGGAATAGCCTTTTATTGGGGAAAAAAAACCAGTAACTTGTGCAGAATAGACAGCTATTAGCAAAGAAGGAAAATTTATCCTCCATCTACAGGAATGGTGTGGCTATGAGAATGAAGATTGCACAAGGAATAACAAGGTATTTCAGATAAGAGTTGGTAGGTGTGCAAAAAGGAAGAACAGAAAGAACCACTGTGGGTATGTGATCCTAATCATGGTGTCCTAGGCAAGAGTCATGATGGCAGAGTGTGAATTAAAAAAAAAAGATAGTTGTGGGTGTTGCTATTAAGATTGTGAAGACTGGGATGAACATGCATAATAAAAGGGTGAGAGAACTCCAGGGAAAGACAAATGTGTCTGTGTGTGTTAGAGAAATATGGTGTTGCAAATATTGTATAATATCAATGTACCCTAATTAAGTGTGTAACTCATTACAGCAGATGTCATGATGGGGTGAATAAAGACTGAAATAGAGGTCTGAGTAGTTATTGTGTTGCGAATGAGAAACAGATTGCCAGCAATTTATGAGCCAAGGAATGGATTCAGTGTATGAGAAAGATGAGTTTGTGTGTGTATGTCTATGAGAGCTGGCTGAATGCAAAAACAAAGTAATACAGAACCTGGTGTATCTGAAGAAAGTGATATTGTTTGAACATAGGAAAGCTACTGAGGCAGAAGGGAGAAAAGATATCCTTAACAGGTTGGAAAAACTTCCCAGAATTACAGTCTTCCAGTTCAAGGTTCTGCAAGACTTTATGTCTCTCTTCATACTGCAGATCTATTGAGAATGTCAGAATTAGAGATGGATGAGAGTTGTGTGCCTTCCCAAAACCAAAATAGAAAATGGGATTAATCCTTAAATTTAATTTAATTAATCCATTAATTAAATTGGGTTAATAAAAGGTTTTCTTCTAGGATTTGTTTAGTTATAGTTAATTTGTATCATAAAACTATGGTTGTTTTTTTAAAGGAAAGGAGTATCTTCAGGGATGGGGTTTGGGACTGTTGTTGGTTCAATAGAAATTGCTTTCTTAGGAGAAAGAGTGGCCAGTTAGGCTGTCCTCAGAAAGTGGGAAACTCTGTGTGGCTGTATGTTTGCCTGTTCAGCTCTCATGCACATGAACATACATGCAAACCAGAAGTGAACAGAAGAAGGGTTTCTACAAATGTCAGCTGAATGAGTTGCTGAACTAAGGGGATCCCTTTTTAATATTTTTCTTACATTAAATTGATGACAGCACCTTTCTGCTCTCTTTGTGCTACCCACCTTTTTTATGCCTATATAAACACAACAATAGCTGCAAAATAATACTAGTAACAACAGCCATTTGCAAATTTATTATAGCTGATACAATGATAAACACTGAATGTCTAGTGGTTTGCAAAGCAAGTGTAGCAGATACACTGTGGAAGATGGACTGCTGATTTAACATGCATGACTTAAATGGTCTCTTAGTTTTTGTTTTAAAAGCCTGTGGTCCTTTTTGCCTAATTAATAGACGAGAATACCTATTTCAAAAGTCATCAATGAATTCAATTCCCCCACCTTAAAGTAAATTGTTGTTATTATTATTATTAAAATAGTATTTTAGCTATAAGTTTCTTAACTTGGATATTAAATAAGGATAGAGCAACAGAGATGAAGGAAAAGATAATCAAACAAGGCAGAGCATTAAGGCAATAAATTCAACAATAAATCCTTAATAGCACGTCATTTTGGCATCTATAGCCTTACCAGCATCCTGCTGTTTAAAATATCAGAAGGATTTTCTCAGGATGCAGGAAGGAGCTGGGGAGTACACAAATTACAAGATGAAATAAAAAGGGGCTGGGAAGGGGGAGGAACTCCCCACACCCTTTACAAAAATACTCTCTGCTGAAACCTGAGAGAAGTGCCCTCATTAAAAAAATACTTTTTATATATTCATTTTCATCTGTTTAATGCTCCTTCCACCATTCTTCATATATTCCAATCTAATCATTTTTAGAATAGACTCCTTTCATTGTTAGGCAAACATATTTCTTCATATTTCTTTTTTTTTTCTTTGCTTGCTTGTTTATTTGGGTTTATTCTGTTACTTAAGGAAGCTGCAGGTTATACCTCAATTTATTTTCTCTCCCTCCCTCCCTCCCTCCCTCTCCCCCCTCTCCCTGTCTCTCTCTCACACACACACATACACACACTACACACTACACACAAACACACACACACACACACACACACACACGGATTCTAAAATGAGGCAGCAGCTGGGATTAAGGCACTTTCTTCTAACATGTCAGATAAGCAAAGGGAGCAGAAAAGAACGCCCCTTCTTCTATTTAATGGATCCCAATTAAAGCGACCCGAAATATAAATCTGCATCCGAAGCATAGCTCCACTTTTCTAGCCCTCCCCTTCGCCAAATTGCCACATATTTTACCAATGGAGGGAGGGGGAGGGAAGGTGAGGGGAAAATCAATACGATTGATTCTTAGCCCCCCACCAACTCGGCGCATCCCAGCCTCTAAAATTCTAGGCAAGATTTTTTTCTTTCTCCCCCAAATTATTAATAAATCACTACCATAAAGCTTTAACTTCCTAGTCGCAGCAGCACCGCCGCCACCATCTCCTACGCTTCGCTCTGCAACCGTCTCCCTTTTCCAAATCCTGCGTGCAAAAGCCGTTCCCAGTCCCTTGCGCAGCCTTGACAGTTCAGAATCCCTGCTAAATGGGCATTTCCCGCTCCCTTCCCAGCAACAACACGGACACCTGTCCCTATCCCCAAACCCAGCTCTGTTTACCTGCGCAGATTATCCTCCTCGCTTGTAAGGCGTTGGTCCAAGACCATTTCCCCGTTAGGTTCTTTGAATAAGGCAGTTCGGGGAAGGAGAAGCAGAAGCAGAAAGGGGGGGGGGGAGAGAAAGAAAGTGCCGTCCCTCGCCTTTTCAGCAGCGTCAGGCTAGGGCTTCTATCTATCTCCGGGAGTAAGGGAGGAGAGCCGAGAGAAAGGAGGGCTAGTGGAGACCCACGTGACATCTCCTTGCTGTCTGTCTGCCGGAGGAGGGAGGAGCTGTTTTCTCTGCAGCGTCGTGGACAGGAACCTCTCCCTACACAGCGGCCTCCGTCCTTCCATCGCGTCCCTTCAGAAGCAGAGAGAGCAAGGGGGCTGGCGCTGGATAAAAATGAAAAATAAAATTATTCCATCCCTTTCCCAAACCCTTCTCACCAACCCCGGCTTTTTTTCTATTTCAGGGGTGACGTGATTTTTTCTTTTACAGGCCCCTTCCCCAAGCCGTTCTGGCAGGGTTTGGGTCATCGCTGCAGGTAGTGAAGAAGATGGAATCCTCGTGGATTTTCTGTGGAGCGGGATGCAGAAGAGTTAATTAAAAGTGTTTGGGACAACACTCTGGGGTAGGTGGGGTGAATGTTTAATAATGTCATTTTTATTCTGAAGAAGATGAAATTGAAGATGTTAACAAGGGGAGAGATCCCTCAGCTGGAAGATTCCTCGTCCAGTCTTTTTCCTCTTGAGCGCTAATGCTCCTAGGAAGAGGGAAGCTTTCAAGAAGAGAAAGGCAGGCTTTTTAATCTCTTCCAAATGTGGATCCCCTCTCCTTAGTACTTTTCTTTTTATATAAAGTAGTTACCTCTCCTAACTTGCTGTGGTTGATACAGGCTATAGGGTTAATTATTCAAGAGGCTCCAGCACATCCCCTAACTCATTGATCATCACTGTTTCACATACAATGAGACCAAAGTAGGCATGCAAAAATATCATCTAGGAGTCCACCACCACCTTCTGTTTCTCATATACACCGAGGAGCCAGAATCTTGCAGGGTTCCCTTAGAGGCAGCCACTACTCCATCAAATAGTATGTGCTCCCACATTGTACATACCCTCTCCAATACACATAGGGTGGAAATCTGCCCATAATGCTCCCCAGGTATATTTAGATGTGCAACAACCAAGAGAAAAGAGTTACAAACAGATGCTATCATTTCATCCAAGAATGCCCCCAAAAGGATTGGGGCACTGATGAAGAGTCCTAATGATTTCTGTTGGAAGGTCTCATTCCCCATTCCTTTCCAGCTTCTCAGAATAACAGTTGGAAGGTACCTTGGAGGTCCTCTAGTCCAACCCCCTGCTCAAGCAGGAGACCTTATACCATTTCAGACAAATAGCTGTCCAATCTCTTCTTAAAAACCTCCAGTGATGGATCACCCACAATTACCTGGAGGATTTCCCACTGTCAGTAAATTTCTCCTTGGTTCTAGGTTGGATCTCTGTTTAATGATCTTCCACTCATTACTTCTTGTCCAGCCCTCAGGTGCTCTGGAGAATAAGTTGACCCTCTCTTCTCTGTGACAGCCCCTCAAGTCCAGTTGCCTTCTGAAAAAAGCATGTTTGGGACAAACATGAATTGGATGGTTGAGAATCTCCATAAGTACTGGAAGGCTGCTATCATGTCAGCGCTTATCCTTCTCTTCATTACGCTAGACACATCTAGTTCCTAGTTCCATATTTAGCACCTGTATGTCTGGGAGAGAAACAAGTCAGAAGATCACCCCTACCTTTCTTTTCTACATAAGTATTGACTTCCAAGAAAACGATCTGAAGATTTGCCCAGAAATCCCACCAACCACTGTACCTTGCCCCTTTGATTCCCTCTGAGCTTTGCAATCTTCAACTTCTGCTGGAAGAAAACTTGCTATATATAGACATTCACAGCTACTCATTCATTGTCTTATTTTTTATTTTTAAGAATAAGGATGTGGTATTGAGCATTTCACTTTCAAAAAGCTGTTCAGTATAATGTAATTATGTCTTTACTACCACAAATTTAACAATAATAATAATAATAATAATAATAATAATAATAATAATAATAATAATAATAATAAATTCTTTGTGTTAGGCAATTGAGTCCAGTCTGGCTTGTTCAGTTTCTCTATCAATTACCAGACATGTGTTTTTGGAAGATGAAGGAAGCAACTCCTGTATTTGGAGCATTCCCGATACTATTTCAAAATATTTTGTGATTCAAGACCTAATCTTCAGGCTCTGATCCTAAAGGCTCCAGTTAACAAGTGTGGCTAATTTTTTTAAATTCATAAATGTGTCTGATTTTAATGCTCTTCTAATGAGTAGGAAATAGGTCCAATGTGCAAAGGATCATGCCTGAAACAGAGCTTGTACAATTTTCTATCATTCAACTCTTTGTGAATGAAATCTCAAAATCTGTGAAATCAAATCCTCCCAAAAGCAAAGGCTTGTTTTTTCAATATCATTTTTAGTAAAAGTCACAAAATTAATTTCTAACAAATATGCTTTGTATGTTATATGTGTTCATATACAGAGTATTACTACTTTAATAGATATGTGCACATAAGCCTGAATTCAACAAAGCATTTGTCGAAGTTTTTCATGACATCCTCATTAATAAAATGGAAAAATATGATATAACTCATAGAGGTACCATAACCAAGTGAATGACCACACCCAGAGGATAGTTTCATAAGTCTCCACATCAGATTCAATAGTGTCAAGTTCAGTGCCCCAGGACTCTATCCTGGGTCCTGTACTATTCAACATTTTTATGGATGAAGGAGTTAAAGGGATGAACATTCAAATCTACAGATGACGCAAAACTAGGAAGAGGGGAAAGGAAGGGATGGGGAGGAAGGGAAGGAAAGGGAAGATACCAGTATATGAGTGGGACATTTAGCTTCACAATAGTACATATAGAAAGGATTTGTGCATTCTAGCATGTCACATGCTAAGCATGAATCAACAACATAAACTACAAAAGGTAAATGCAATCTAAAATATGTCAACAAACTGAAGTAAGTTCAGAGGAGAATACAAAGATAAGTGATTGGAAACCAAACAGTATAAGGAACTGTTTAAAAAATGGATTGTTTAGTTTACATAAAACACTGAGAGGATATTACAATAGCAGTCTTCAGGTATCTAAAGGCTATCATATAGAAGAATAAGTGGATGGTATATTTCCCTTTACTGAAAATCTTCAAGTGGTGCTAGGATAGTTACCAGTTGAAATACTTCAGCACATCCTGAATTGAATAGAGGGTTAAATTAGTTGAACTCTGAAGTCCCTTACCAACTCTTTGATTGTATGGTTTTATATTAAGTTGACATTGTTCATATTCACAGCAGAAAGAAGAAATGTCTGCTTAGCTTTAAGTTACCACATTAAGATCTTAGAATAGAAAGTAACTGGTTTAGTTGGGCAGGTGTTCTGGTCCACAGAGTCCTGTTTTGATCAGTTCTGCGCAACTTTCATCAAGATTGGCCTTAAACACTAAATATGGTTCCATATCTCTAAATACTGGACAAAGTTTAATAAACAACCTATTAATCTTTGATAAGATTGTCTTGGCATTCAAATGTTGTGGAGAAAGTCAACCTCTTTCACTAGGTTTCAAGGGAGGACAGCTAATCCAGTTTCATATACGAAATCCAAATTTATTTCATTAAATCCAATTTTTCACTCAGCAATTTATTTATTTATTTATAAAATTTACCTCAAGGTAATTCTGAGTTGCTTACAATGCAGTTAGAAGCCACCCAGAGTCACTTGACAATGAGATGGGCAGCATATAAATTTAATAAATAATAGTAATAAACATATCTAAAAAGGCCAATGAATGTTTCATTCTGTCCTGACCTATCTTGGGCTTTTAGATTAATACTGTACCTCAGAATTACAAATCAGAAGTTTTAATTCATAACCCAGCTTTCCTTCTCATTTATGTTTTTGATACCAGGATTTACTCTTTGATATCAGGATTTATTTCACATCTTCTTTGTCCTGACTATATCCCTTAAAACATAGAGCACAATTTCCTAATGTAAGTATGAAATGGAATTGTCTTACTCTTACAACTTTTTAAATAAAATATGCTAGTTAATTTCTATATTTTGGACAGGATTGGTTTTAGAATCACTGCAGAATCTAGGATGATCATTATTTAACAAATTTGCATTAGTCTCTGAAAAATTGTCTAGTCAATCTCATGAAACTGAGGGTAGAGGACAGATTTTCCTTACCTTTTAATCAACAAATCCAGTGCTGTTTTCAAGTCCATGCGATTTTCTTTGCAACATTATCAGAAGTGGTTTGACGTTTGCCTACTTCTTAGAGCAAAGACAAAGTATCTGGCCCAAAGTCACCCAGTTGGCTTTCATACTCAGGTGGAACTGGAACTTGGTTCTCCCTGTTCCTAGAATCTTTAACTGTCACTTGCCCACTAATAAATATTGAATCTTTATTTTAAAGAGTCAGTACTAGAATAGCTTACTGGTAAAACCAAAGGAAATTTTCTCAGTAATCTTATGCAGTTTTTCAAATATAGTAGTAAGGAGAAGAAACAGGAAATTTCTTCTTTATGACTATGATCATAAAGATGCCAGCAAAGATAGCACTTAAAGGAAAACTTGTTTCTTTTTTATTTACATAATGCCAAACTATATGTGGGAGCTACCTTTTCATTTTTTTCCTGCCAATAGTTTACTGAAAACATAAAGAAGGTTATAACTATATTTTGTGATCTCATTTTCTCTGAGAAACAATTTTCATTTTGAGCAGGAAAAAAAGTGGATCCCCCCCCCCCGGTAAATCCATAAATTGGATGGGAGATATAAGATAAATCTCTATAAGGTAGCAGTGAAAATATATACCATATACCTGCCTTATATTCTAAAGAACTGCTGTGAGCCTGGGTAGATAATAATAGATTAGTTGGTAAATAATATAGTTGCTATAAAATTGTTTTCCATGTTATCTAATCCATTGAACTTTGAATATGAAAATGAGGGAGAAGTATCAACCTGATTTAACTATATATTTATTCAGCATGTTAATTCTACAGTCAGAACCCATGCAATTTGTCCTTTTTCAAAGAAAAGACAGAAATATTTGGGTTGTAATTCTGTAACTACACATAGAAAAGGAGAGTATCAAGGGATTTCTACAATTCTAGTAATTATAATACCCTCTTTCCTTACTCTGCTCAATAAGCTGCTGATGTATGTCTGAATATAACATTGTTATTATATATAGTTTGAAAGTATGATATTTCTAAATCTTAGGTGCAAATGTTTGATGTCTGCTGTTCCCTATACTCCTGTGCATAGCTATATTCCTGTTTCTGCTGAAAGCAGCCTACAATCCAGGGGCTCAGGGAGAAGAAGAATTAAATGGTCAAAGATCAATCGTGGAAAAGCTATGTTTAGAATGTCTGAACACATGAATCACAACATGCCAGGATAGAAACAGCATATTGGTTGCAGAAATAGCAGACATGGTATGTTATAATAGAACTCAATAGCATGTTCTCCTTTGGCATTGGCTAATGGGATTGCGGTCTTTGTTTTCATTATACAAAAGTATTCTTTATTGTATGGTGTAAGGTAATCATAACTAATTGTTTAACTGAAGTCCAAGTAAATAGCATTGCATAATGAGGATGCAGTCATATGACCTGGGAGCCTGGGAGGTGTCCTTTGAGTTCAGACAACTTATTTCTGAGTAAATAGAAGGTTATGATGTAATGGTGATTAGAATTGATTAAACATATTTATGGGTGCAACTAAATGCTGCTAATTGTTTTGCTTTGTTTTAAAATGATAATTATACACATAAAATATGAACTATCCTCACAACCAAATTAAACATTTTTCCAGATCATATTTTTTCTGCCCTCACAACAGAAAGTTTAAAAAATATTCAAAAAATTATAATTTGTACTTTTGCTACTGTGACTATTGTGGAATAACTATTCCATAATTTTATTTCTATAACAATTGTGCTTAGAACTATAATGCCATTTTTAAACAACCATTCATTGTGACGAGTAGCCTTAGGTTGCACAGTAATTGAAATTGTGGTGTTAGTTGTCAAAGCTAAACTGCAGGTTTCCAAAAGTGGCTCCCCTTCCCCCTTTTTTCATGTTTCCAAGAGCTCATACCAATTGTTGGAGGTTCAATGAATTTTTGCTCCAGGCAAATGAACACATGAATTTTTCTGATGTTTCCAGATTTTAGGAAGCTGAAATTATGTAAATGGTTCACAGTATGCCCAGAGAGCAAATTAGCATGGTGCACGCATATAAAAAGTGATATGCATGCATTGCAACTAAAGTGTGAACATTCAGCACTTTTTAAAAATCTCATTTACACACAAGAGGTAGCTGCATTTTACTGTTTTGTTATCACAGTCTTCCTATGGCCACTTTATACTAGTTTATATAGTGCAAAGATACATAACAAATACTTGTTAGGCTATAGGCTTCACTAGGCTGCAGCATCAGTTGCCTTGTGATATTTAAAAACCTTTGATTTTATGAATGCTTGAGCAGAAATTATATAATTTTTGCAGAATTTCAACTGAGTGTTGTAAATCTCATTTAGAAAATAAACATTGTTTCAGTGGATAGTAGAGTGATAGCTTGTGGTTGTTTTCTGTTCTATTTTGTTCTCTACTGTGCTAAAAACTACATTGCAGTTTCTTAAACTGATGTAATGGCAGACCCCAAAGCAGAGTTAAGAATATATATATTGAAAGGAGACAATTTGGGGACCTGACATATGCCCCCCTAAAAGAATGGGAAATCCACCTAAAAGACAAAAAAGGGAGGGGAACAACAATATATATATACATTAATTTGGCTTGTCGGCATATTGGGAATGGAAACATCTAAGAAGTTTAGGGGCTCTAACATGTTTCTTGTATACCCACTCATTATGAGCAGAAGGGAGATTCTTCCAAGCTACTAAGTATTGTATTAATCCATGATGTATTTGAGAGTCCAAAATGTCTTTAATCACAAAGTGTTGTTCACCCTCAACCACGATAGGTATGGGGAGCTGAGGTGCAGGAGGCCTAATGGGAGAGGTGACCTCTGGCTTGAGTAAACTGCAGTGGAAAACAGGGTGGATTTTCCAAAGGTTCTTTGGCAAGTCCAATTCAACTGTCACAGGATTGATGATGCATTTGATAGAGAAAGGTCCTACAAATTTAGGGCCTAATTTCTTTGAAGACTGTAAAGACTGCAAATATTTTGTGGAGAGGTATACTTGGTCTCCAACTTTATATGTTTTTTTCTCCATTTATTTGCCTGAGCCTTATAGGCTTCTCTGGCTCCATCCAGAGCTTTCCTGACTACTGGCCAGGTATTTTGTAACTGCTTAATCCATTCTTACAAGGAGGGGATTTTAGGCTCCTTGACAGGAAGTTCAGGCATGGCCACAAATGTTTGACTATTAGCTACTTGAAATGGAGTAAAACCTGTACTGGAGTGCATAGAATTGTTATAAGCCACCTCACCAAAAGGTAACATGTTAGACCAATTGTCTTGCTGATAATTAATAAAACATCATAGGTATTGTTCTAGAACTGAGTTCAGTATCTCTGTCCCCCCATTCATTTGCAGATGGTGCGAAAATAACATCCCTTGACTAGAACCCATCAAGTCTAGAAAAGTTTTCCAGAACTTAGATGTGAATTGAACCCCTCTGTCTGAAATTATATTTGTGGGGCTCCATGAAAACAGTATATTTTCTGCACAACGAGTTTGGCAAGAGTCTTTGCAGTTGGGATCTTGGGGCATGAAATGCACTTGTCTAGAAAACAAATCCGTTACGACCCAAATTACAGTGTTTCCAGTGCTTTCAGGTAGTTCTACAATAAAATCCATAGAGATCTCTCTCCAGGGTGCTGACAGACTTGCTACTGGTTGAAGCAATCCTGGGGATTTTCCTTGTCACCATTTACCCACTGCACAAATGGGGCAGCTGGCTACATAGTTCTCTATGTCCTTTTTCAAAGCAGGCCATCAAAGCTGTCTTTTAATGAGATATAAGGTTTTTACAAATCCAAAATGTCCAGCAGTTTTTGAGTCATGCCCTGCTTGCATTACTTTAAGTCTTAAAGCTGTGGGGACATACAGTTTCTCCCCAATCTGACTTCCGGTTTTTGCCCGCAGCACATGGCCACACGTGAGTGGACCTCTGCTCCCCACAGCTAGTTTCTTCCTACTTGGGGGATCCTAGATGGGTCTGAAATTGGCCCGGAGAGGTGACCATGAAGGAGGGATGCCCCGTTGATCATGAAGCAATGGCAATCGCTTCGTTTGATCTGGAGAAAGCCCTCCAAACCTGACAGGAGAAAGGCTAGTGTGAGATCAGGGTCTAGCCCAAGCTGCTTGCAGACAAAGTCCCAGAGCACGAACCTAAACATCGGTGAACAGCATGCTTGGAATTGGTGAGAGTACGGATCTTCTTTCTTCTATCTATTATCTAAATCCTTGAAAAAATCCCCAAAGCAAGAAAACCTCCAGAAGTGAAGCGAGGGGACTATATCCCCATTCCCTTACAGATGGAAGTGGCAAATTAATATTAAAGGAGGGAAGAGATATATTAAAACTTGATTGGACAAATTTAGAAACTAAAAAACTGTCAAGATTATACTCTAATTTTTTTGATGAATTATAACAATATATAACAAAAATAACTTTTTGATTGAAAGAAAAACTGGAAAAAGAAATAACTGCTGACATCGTGGAGACTCAAAGAATAGAACACTGACAATAAAGACTCAGAAATACCTAGAAGCAAAGAAAAAGTTGTTCCTTTTAATTGTAAATAACCTTGAAGACAGCTGGGAACAAAGGAAGATTAAGATTAAAAAGTGTTTGAAAGAAAAAAAACACACCTGGACTGTTGCTTAAATCTAAGAACTGTTTATGGAAAAGAAAAACCTTGGCTTTTTGACTAATCTTTTAGAGGAGAATCTGTAGAAATCTATCAGACAATCAGAAACTGTAATTTTGATTGTCTGATAAATTGACTTTTGAATTAAAACATTGATGAAAGATTATTTGAAGAGGTAGACAACATGAATATCACATACATATCTCAAAAAATGACAGGATGCCACATTCAATATTTTCTCCTGTAGGACATGGCCTGGAAAATCAAGGGTCTCCAGAAGCAATACTTCAAGGCAAGATAAATACTTTCCAGGAGGAAATATATGTAGTGTTAGGACAAATACAAATGACAATAGACTCAAACCACAAGGAAATCCAAAACAACTTTGATGATTTAAATAAACATATTTCCAATCTAAATTTACAATTAAAAAACACCCAGGAAATAACAACAAAGGCACAAATAAATCAGACAGCAGACTACAAAATAGAAGAGTATAATCAAATTGATGAAACAACAAAAGAAAAGAATTACAATTTGACACAAACAGGAAAAAATCTTCAAGGTTCTGATACTACAAGAAAAATGGAATTATCAGTAGAACTATCAAAGTTTGGGATACAGAAAGTATTTATCTTACTTACTTCATCTTTTGTATTCCCAACATGTGTAAAAATACAGGAACTCCTGGGTAAGCAGATTACATCAACTTGGAAAATTACTTGGCAAAAGAAGAAGACCAGAGATGGATACAAGAGATTTGACTCGCCCTACCAGATGGATTATTACATGAATAAACATTTGTTTGAATATGGCTAAATGAACAGAGAATTTTGAACACAAAGGGGCCTTATAACAAGAAGGATAAGATATTTAAGTAATATAGTATGTTTTATAATATATAAAATGTTAAAATAGTAGGTTGATGTAACTTTATTAATATATAAGTGAAATATAAACTGATTAAAAAGGATATTATATCTAGATATTATAAGATAGATAAAAAGTATAGTATTTTTATAATGCATGATATAAAATATTGGGAGGATGTACCTAAATGGGAAAATTTGGACAGTTAGATGACTAATATGAAGAAATTATGACTAATAAGAATTTGATTGAATATAAGGGAATTTAAGAGAACAAAAATTATAAAAATAGGATGTATGTTAAACTAATGAGATGATGGTTATGAGAATAATATAAGCTGAAAAAAAAGTCATATAGAGAGATTATTAATATTTGTATAAATATAAAAATGCCTATATCTAATCATTTATATATTGAAAATATTAAGAATTATATTGTGGCTAAGGTTGAAGAAGGAGAATACAAATAGGAGAAGGGAAGATAAAAGAAATGTATCATTAATTAATATATTAATTATGGAATTATCAAATTTAATTATTATTGATTGTTAATTAATTATTATTGTCCTTTTTTCTTGTTAAAATATAAACCAAGACAACACGCTGTACACCAGGCACTGGAGATTGTTATAGTTAAAAACTAATAAAATATCTATATATAAAAAAAGTTTCTCCCCAATCCATGCAAGTCCATCTTTTAACACACAAAGATTATTATGGTTTCTAAACCACTCATCGGTCTCTAATGTAGTCTTAAACTCCTGTAACACAGCCTTTTCAAGAGAAGCCACAGGCCTTGACTAGGCTCTGGTGGTTACAGGTTCTACTAGCTGATGAGGGTGCAGGAATGGTTTAGTCACCTCTGTTTTCTTGCTGTTATATTGGGGTAATCTGGACAATGCGTCAGCTAGGAAATTCTTTCCCCCAAGGAGGTAATGAATAGTGAAGTCAAAATAATGAAAGTGCTGAGACCATCTTGCTTTTTAAGGGGAGAGTTTCCTGGGAGTTTTCATAGCCTCAAGATTCTTATGATCAGTCCATACATGAAATGGGATTTTACTCCCCTCCAGGAAATGCCTCCACATTAGGAGTGCCCATCATACAGCATAGGCCTCCTTCTCCCAAGCTGCCCACCTCTGCTCAGTCTCTGATAATTTCTTAGAGGTGTAAGCACAGGGTTGTGCTTCCTTATTTCTCTGTAATAACAACATTCCCACAGCC